ATGCCTGCTTGCCCAGCCGACCCGCACGTGCTCTCATTCACCTGCACGTGGAAATGCCAGGTGTGGGCGCACACAACTCCTGACTGCATTTCCCTGGCTGCTCATGTTTGGCTTCAAGAACAAATGTGACTTTTTATTTGCTGTATAACAAATTTTTGTCTGGTATAAGCTTCTACCCACATAAACATCGGGCATTTTAGTTATGCACACAGTGAGAACCTTGGTTTTAACTTCACTGTATTTTCTGAGTTTAAACAGTCAAATTACAAATTACCTTTTTTGGGTACCTTTTTTGAGAGGATTTTCCATGGCTGCGGGGCCTGCTGTGGGCCGCCACGGAGCAGGGTGGCTGGGCTGCGCCCCGTGGGGCCRGGCCCACGGCGACTGGGGCACCGACGTGGGGCAGCTGCAAGGCCCCGGGGCGACACCAGCACTGGCACGCAGCCAGCAGGAGAGAGGACAGCGCCCGAGCAGGATTTCCATGCATACTTCCAAAGGAAAAGCACCTCACTAAAATCATTCTAAGATTTTTCTACTCTTCTTTAAATCTGAGGAGTATCTGAGCTGATCTGCCCCGTTTTGCTGCTCCTCTGTCTTCCAGGACACAGGCATGTGACCCTGGAGCTCACTTGGCTCCCATTTCAAGGTGCCCTCTGCAGATGTTCAGCAAGAGAACTTGGCTTCCCACTCTTTGCTTTGGCACACACCTTAAAACATAGTTTTAATAGCCTGGATGAAAATAATCTCCCTGTGAAAGCTATCTGMTTTCCTGCTATGATAATGTGCATTWTCTTCTTTGATTTGCCTGTCTTCATCTTACTACGGTGCTAGAAAGTTGTAGCACTCCACAAACAAGGTTTTTTTCTCTGTAAAACAAACCCAGGGTTTTTCCTATCTTCCTTATAAACTCAGTGGTGGCAAAGCTAGGCCCAATCACCATTACTTCTCCTCGGCATCTGCAACCCTGCAGCTTCAGGTTCCTGGGAGTTCTCGTGAGCTCGCAGCAGATTCTCAGAAACCTGGACTTGCCCTCCTCGTGTGTCTGCAAAACCCGGCGCCTGCAAGCTGCTTCGGTACAAAAACGAAGCCAGGCCTTGCCCTGGCTCCCAGCTACACCCGCAGCGGCAGAGGGGAGCAGAGAAGCGCAAACTGCAGCCACAGGAGCGCTTACGCGCGCGCTGCTGCCGAGAAGGGCAGTGCTGCCTTCCGTGACCCACAGACACGTGTGGGGCACGAGCCTCGAGGTCGCCCCGGGACGGGTAAGGGAGGCGCCAGGGCACAAACGGGCTGCTGAAGTCGAGAGAAAATGTCTGCCCTGTCCAGCATCAGCACTAGCACGAGCCGGCTCGCCCTGGCTGTGTATCACAGGCCTAAGAAACCTCGGTAGCACTAACACTGGGGGCTGGCGTGGCGACCCAAGCCCTGACGCAATTCATAGCATAGATGCACCGCAGCGGCCACACCAGACTCCGGTCCGTCTACGCAGACGCACCAGAGCCTGGTGCAAGTTGTTGAGAGAGCACTGGGTGACGCAGACACAAGCGGCATGGCCCGTCCCTAAAATGTTTCCACGCTAATGAATTGCAAGAGTCTGATCCGCCCTCTAAGCCAGCGGACTCGCTGCCTTCCAAGCTCAAGCGTAAGCCTGTCTGAATGGAGCCCCAGCTCTCACATCAGCTTGGGGCCTCTCTTACACCAGCCCGGCCTAGGCGAAGCCCAGGGACACGAGGTCCAGGCACACCGGCCGCTTTGGCAGCTCCCTGTGCCCGCCTTGTTCCCAGCASCCCGGGACATCCATCCATGCTGGARAAGCACATTAGCATCTATTGCTTTCCTCCTGGAGGCCTTACCACCTCTTGCTGCCCTTAAATCCCGCTTTAGGAAAGGGAGCGGCGGCCGCCAGGCCCTGCCAACCCCCGGGGCCGGGGCGGCCTCCACGCGCCTGGGCAGCGCGAGGGCCGCGGCTCCATGGGGCCAGCAGGGCCGGGGGGCGCCCATGGGGCAGGCGCTGCCCCATGTGGGGCACGGGCGGCTGCTCCGCCCTGGCGCTCCGGCCGCGGCGCCGCTGCCGTGTGCCATGGGCCTTCCCGATGGGAGTCCTGGGCGCTCCCGGCACCGCCGTGTGCCATGGCCGTTCCCGATGGGAGTCCTGGGCGCTCCCAGCACCGCCGTGTGCCATGGCCGTTCCCGATGGGAGCCCTGGGCGCTCCCGGCCACGGCGCTGCTGCTGTGTGCCATGGGCCTTCCCAATGGGAGCCCCGGGCGCTCCCGGCGCCGCCGTGTGCCACGGGCCCTCCCGGCTCCGCGCGCCGCAGGAACCGGGCTGCCCTGTTGGGGTTTCAGTGGCGCCGGGCGCTCGGCCGCCCTGTGGGCTAACGGCCAGCGAGGTGGAATTTCCTAATTCAAAGTGATTTTGGGGCTTACACGGGTTAGTATATAACACCTAGTAAAATCCCCTAAAGGTTAAAAATATTTACTCAAATAGAGCGCCTAAGCCTTTTTCTTTGTTGTTTTTCCCCTTCAGTGAAGGGGTTGCGCTCCGCCACCTCGGCAAGGAGCCCAGGAAGGAGGCGCTGGGGCCAAAGCAGCCGTGCTGGCACCCGGGCCGGGGCCGTGCACCTTCCGTGCCCCGCCGTGCTGGGGGAACTGCCCCACGCGGGCCAGTGCTGATTCCTGCCCCGCGGCCAGCAGCCGCCTTCCCTTGGATGTGCTGCATCCAGGGGCGCTGGAGCCGCAAGAGCGGCTGTGGGAAGGGTTTAACTGGGCTCACGGTGACCGAAACGGGTCCGAGGGCCTCGCCGGGCTCCTCGGGGCCGAGGCCGTGGCGGTCCCGGGCGGGGAGGAGCCGGGGCGGCCCCTGTGCCCCCATCGGCGCCGGCTGACGCCCAAACACCCGCACACCCCTCAACACACACACACACCCGCACACCCGCACACACCCGCACACACATCAACACACACACCCGCACACCCGCACACACCTCAACACACACACAGACACACACACACATCAACACACAGACACACACACACACACACACACACACACACACACACACACACCCCCGCACACACACACACACACACACACACGTGCAAACCTCTGGCAGGAAACTCCTGATAAGCAAAACCCACCGTGTCCCGTTTGTATGTTGTTTATAAAGTAAAGCAATTAATGAGCATAAAACATTGGGCTCGTACAGGCAACAACTGCAGCTGGCCCAGTCTTTGGATGGCCAATAGCTGGCGGGTTTGGAAGGGTGAACTTAGGAATGGATTCCAACATGGAACTCCTGACACTCCTGGAGCAGTGACGTCCTGTAAGCCTGGCCTAGGACATCACTACGGATTTTAAAAAATGATCAGAAAATGAAGACTGAGTATGTTAAGAGGGATCTAGCTTTGATAGACCTGCTGTTCCCATTGGTTATGAACAGAAAGCAAACTTAAGCAAAGAAAGATGACTGRGAAGTCTTAGGGAGAGATAAAAGCTGTACATCTTATTTACAACACTCTTTCTGTCCATATACAGTACAATTACACTGGTCATTAAAAATACATTTTCTTTTTTAAATATCACAAATACACTGGGACGTCCAAAAATCCAGATTCACCTTAGCATCTTTGTGCCCATCTTGCTTTGCTCCAAGACAGAAATCCAGAGAGAGAGACCTGCACTGGCCTCTCAGTGTGTGTGGACAGCAGAAAGATGCAAGACTTCCATTAAACTCTACCAAGAGGGGAAGTGTAAAGGCAGCAAAAAGCTGATCCTGAGCACAGCTTAGCCGGAGCAAAGAATAAGGGCTGCTGTGCACAGAGACACGGACAAACACCTGTGCATGTCTGCACACATGGATTCTAGCCAATTTATTCATTGTSTGAATTTCCACAGCATTGTTTATCCTAAAAAAGGAGAAAGGCTTCAAGGAGAGCTGCTTCGCAGCGTCCCCGTGTGCACAGCACATAAACCTGAACATTAAATATTGGTTTAAATTATTAAGAATAAATTTAAATTTAAAAATAGACTAATGCAAACAAGCATAAAGATCGACAAGAAAACGTAAGGTAGTTTTAGAAAGCACATTGCTATGTAGCAAATGCCAACTCCTTGCTCTCTYGGACACTCTGAGGCAATGATCTGGAGAGTCCAGTTCAACACCCAGATGCACAAGCTTGCCCAGCAAGAAAAATCAAAATCTCCAAGCACATGATGTTCCATGTTCACGTGTTTCTCTGTTCCTTTCACAACAGAAAAAGACACTAGCAGCACATTAGCTGCTCCCACAAAGCATTTGAGGTGACAAAACTCACTTGGAAAAGAAAATTAACAAAAACACTAAAAAGAATCCAGATCAGTTCGTGACCACCATAAGCCAAGATGGTTACAAAAAAGAATAAAAAAATCATCCAGCATCACAAACCTTGCCCGGTTTCTTTGAAATCAGAATGAGAAAAGGTCCATTTTCCTAAGACTTTTTTCAATAAAGTTTTCTTTCCCTATACCTGAAAAATACAGATATTGGGGTACAGAATTTCTGTCACACACACACATATATGTATGCATATGTGTGTATGTAAGCATGGTGCCTCCTGTTTCTTCTCCTAAGTCAGCAGCATTCGAGCTTGTYGCGCAGTCGGGTGGGCTCCTGGGCAGTGGGTGCTCGTTGCACTCACACAGCACAGGCCATCGGGCGCCGCTAGGGCGGAGGAGCCAGGAAGCGCTGCGGAGTGTTCCGGGACTCCGGGATTCAGGTGGGCAGCCAGGGAAGGAAGGACAGCGAATGAAGACCCGCCGGGGCCGCGGTTCCTTCAGGGCGGCGGGCGCGGATGTGGGGYGGCCGCAGCGGCTCCACGGGCACGGCCGTGCTCATTCCCAGCCCAGGGCATCACCCACACAAGAAGGAAGAAGGACCTTCTGACACCTTCAGAGGGAATCCCAGCGTCCTGAGACTGTCTCTGTCCTGAGACTCACCCAAGAGTCTCCTTGGCTTTTTGGCTTCCCAGCTCTCTCGTCTAGTTTTCCTAGGCCTCCTTGTGCTAGCAGGATGTGGCGGAGACCAGATATGTCTCCTCCCCAAACCACAGGCTCCTACTCACACTGCTTTGAGCAGATGCTTTCCCACAGCCTCCTAAGTTCCAGTAATCTCCTCAGAGGACCATGTTCCTCAGAGATTTTCTGCTCTTGAAAGGCCCAAGTTCTGTGTAAATCAGGGCTCGTGGCACACGCTCCCAGGACACCGCTGACTCTCTTTCGCAGGGGGCAGCTGCAAAGTGCAAAATACTTGTTGGAATCAGAAGGGGKTTTCTCCACTGATAACTCTTCCATCTTCATGTTGGATAGCACGTGTTTCAAGTAAGGTGTAAGGTATATATGTGTCTTCGCAGCCTTCGCTCTTGCTGGGGGGAGCTCCATTTACAGCAGATGAGCAGATGTTTACTGGTGACTGGCATGAGCCATTTCTTCATACAGTCCACTGCAGCAGCTGAGTATTCAAACCCAACTGCATTCTTCAGAGCAGAAAGTGCTTTTCTTCAGAAACAAAATGAATATTATGTTCTCAGGAACATCTTAAGGACTCCAAAATAGTATTTCCATGGGTGGAAAGGATGGAATGCCTCTACTTTATTTGGCTTTCTCTCAGTAAGGAAATAGAGCTACTGGCAAAATTGGCACATCTTTGAGAGCCTGTTGAACTTAGGATCCTGTCTGGAATGTAAAAGAAATGACAGAGCAAAGGAGAACCTTGCCTTATGGTGGGCTTCTGCTCCTTCTGGTGACTTCATGTGCAAGCTGTCCATGAAAGTTCTACTAACCGAGTGAAGATGGACTTCTCAAATAATAAGCTGTGGGTTTTCAGAGAGGCATTTSGGGGTACTGCTACAACCTGGTTGAGGTAAGTCTTTTCATGCCCCTCCGCTGCGCCAAATTGGAGGACAATACAGGCTCCAGCCTTGGTGCCTGAGGTGTCCGATTTAAAGCAAAGTAAGTGGCTGCCATTGCACCCTGTAAAATAAAGAAGAGAAAATGCTGCGCTAAAGGTCGGTTCTTTTGATGCCTTTTCCCCTGCCTTTTCCTATTCAACCCCCTGGATGAATGGAAAATGTTCATGAAATGACAATGATGTAGAGACTGGCCAACAGCTGAGTGTCTCTGATTCACAGTGGTAGGCAGTGCTGCATGCACAGAGTCCCACTAGTTTAGTACTGTAGTAAACAGCTGGAAGYTCAGTAGATGATCGGTCAGAAAGCTTTTCTGTTAATACACTGGCCTGTTAAATCTGACCTCTGTGGCAAATAATATTCACAAGCCCTCTCTCTCTTTCTAGGTTATTTGCACAAATCACAGCTCACAAGAAAAGAAGATTCAGGAGTGTTGGATATACCTTCACCAGGTGGACATCCTGTCTGCTGAGCTGATTTTGAGACAGATACTCCCTGTTCACTATCCATGGATGTCTTAATACTTGAACTGCTGTGAGGCGCTGATGAGGGTCTACATGAAGCATCTTAGACACAATATCCTGGGTTTAAAAGGAAGAAAACAGTAAAAGGGAAAAAATAATTAATAACAATTTAGGTTTTACTAAGATCTTCCCCATGGCAGTGCCATCACCAGCCTATCAATACAGAAGGGGATGCTTTTATATACGTTTTATAATTTTTAAGTTTGAAGTTTGATTTTCAAAATTTTCAACTGTCATGTTCAATTCTCAACAGACAATCCAGTTAGAAGATAATCTGGAATAATATTCAGCCTACTGAGTGAGTGTCAACAATTACTGGTGACTTCATAGGGCTGAATAAATCTAGCTAAAGAGGATGCCAATTTGAGCCATCTCATTGGCTGCAAAGCATTCTCGAAAGACAAGCTTAAAACAGAAATCTAAAATACAGGTGGCTAAAATCAGTAAGATCAGTTCTACCATATTTGAACATCTTAATTTCAAAACTGGTCATTTGATAAAAATCTGTCTGTCTGATAACAAGGCTCATACGTGTTGGTAGCAAGACGATTAAGTTACTGCATCTCCCTCATGTTTTGTGATGGAATATGTCAGTGTTCTTCCATAGGAAACTACCAGTTATTTATACTGAAATCTCTTGTGGGGATGTATAAAACCTGTCAAAGTTTCTGATTAATACCAGACAACTGCAAATTCGCCCATCCCAGGAAGACAGTCCTGACCATCTGTCTATCTCACAGACTAGTGCACAGGTTGAGGCCCCACAGACTCAGCTCCCACCGAATCCCTGCTCCTGGAGTTCCTGATGGGCATCCAGCCCTATGGGCTAGGGAGAGCACATGAGCAAAAAGAACTGGCTTAGGAATTTCCTGCTTGTGATTAACCTTGAGGTCAATCTTTTCATTGTGAAAAACATGATTCAAAACAGATCATGAGTTTAAAGCACTGATTAACCTACGCTTATTTTAAAAGTTGAGTTCAATCAAAAAGTTCTGCACTATTTTAATATTAAAAATATTCCTAATTGATRATGCTATATTATGCCTTAATTTAACGAATAAGAATATTTCATGCAGGGCAATTTAAACATAAACAAGCAACTTATTTCAGAAGGCACTCAGAAATAATTTGGTACTTCAGTGTACCAGATTGCCAATCCATTTAAGAGAACAAGRAAAGTATCAAAACGCCTGCTGACCTTTGCAGTATCAGATACTGAATCCCAGTTTCCCCCTGTAAGTGCGTATTTGCCACTGCCAATCCTGGCAAGAATCTCCTCTGGRGTGTCATCTGGTCCATTTGCAAAAGGAGTGAAACTATTAAAAAATAACAAAAAACAAAAATACGGTAATTTGCAAGTCTATCGTTTCTAGCATCTAATGTTAACTACAACAGATAACAACAGGAATTTCATTTTAGAACAGACCATGGAAATGGCAGTTCCATTTTCATTCAAACTAGAGTGCAATGATTCCTTGTATTAAAATTTTATGCACAGGAGAAGAAAGCTCCAAACTTTTTTTTTTTTTTTCCTCCTTTCTGTTATCCCAAAATGAGAGCAGAAAAGAGCATCTGTCAACAGGGATGTGCAGAGAGCTAAGTGCTACCTAAAACATCACAGTCTGTCCCCACCTGCTCCTGGAGGTCGCAGGGAATAAGGCACAGGGTGTGGGCAATGGTCAGTTCACATGACAGAYGCTGTCTTCTTGTGCCACGAGGTTGTTGTTAGCTTGGATTAGGTATCCTGCTGCCTAAAGCACTGCACCGTGTCCTAAGCAAAGCATTAGTACTCTTGAGACTGACATTGAGCTTGAGATCTCACYGCTCACCAYGCCAACCGCCCTCCCATTCTCTAGGAAGGATACAGGGATATSCTTCTTATCCTTGGTATTCCCTAARTGCAGTAAYGGTGCTTAAAGARCAATCACCTGTCACTTGTTTGCTTTATTCTTATTTTTTCTTCTAAGAGTAGGAAAAAAGTGAGGTACAAGTTAACAGAACCTATTGGTAGATTTAATATCCACTAAGTTCCTTGTACAGTTTGTATTTCAATTTCTAGTATACTTGGGTTTCTTCTTTAGAATCACATTTTTAAGCAAAAAAAAACCCCACAAATTACAATCAGTCAAATGATCTGGTTTGGGGCAATGCGTTTGGTTATATTTTACTGATTCCAGTTGTACCTCAGTGCAAATCCATGGTGTTAGCCAGGCAGAAACAAGGTTTTCAGAAATCTTGACAGAGTGGGAGACTGYTCAAGAGAGTCCCACTGTATTTCAGCTAATGCTGAACACACTTGCACTCAGGAACAAAACAGATGGGAYAGAAACTCCTGGCACTTTTTCTACAGCACGTGAGGCAAGAACGTAAGTAACAGCAAGGYAGGATCTTAGTGTTTGTTTTCTCTATAAATCTAGGAAAGAATCCAAGCTTTTTTCCCATGGCTCAGTGATCATGAAGTAGATTTAAGAGCTGCCAGAGGTCATGGAAAAGTTTCAAGCTGCACATAGTTATAATAAATGTGCAGGTACCTTACCCTGCTGCCAGCAAGATAAGTGAAATCCAACATTTCCAGGGACTTCATCATTCAGGACTGGGCATGCACACTGTGTTTCCCATTCAGCCCGGCATCTTATTCTTATCATTCTCTGCTTGTTTCAGTCTCTCTTTCTTTGAGCCTTTTTGTGCCAATATTTCGTGTTAGCCAACACACCAGAAGGTTTATCTTTTCCTGGTAGTCCTCCCCACTCCTTCCCCACCCCAATTCCCACTGCCTGTTGCTGTTGCTGTTCTTGGTCTGTCTGTTTACTTTCTACTCTCTCTGCAACATATTCTTCAAATACCATCTGWATACACTGTTTGATTTTTTTTTTTATTTTTTAGCTATTAAAGGTATTCATGAACCTCAATAAGAACAGAAGAAAAGGAAGAACAAAACTGTACAGAATACATACGTGTAGTAACAGAAATGGATACATCTTCTCTTACAGAGGAGATGAACATTTTGGGACTTGAACTATGTGGCTTCTACGTTATTCTCCTAGTGTAAAACTTCTATACTGCTTAAGCGAACGACCCTTTTAGGAATCTAAGCCTTAGTGAAAACTTACAGGATAAAGGCTATTAAGCACCTAAGCTACTTGTAAAACATCAAAGGTACTTTTTGAAAAACTTTGTGTACCTCTAGATCTTGCCATCTATTTTGTTGCCCCACACAACTGGCGACATTTCTCCAAGGTGGTCGGACAGTTCAGTGTCTGTTTCTCTGACTCCGTTCTGGCCTCGAGCAGTGTGGAACTGTGGCCACTGGGGCCACTGGGGCCACAGTGTGGAACTGTGGCCTCAGTGTGGAACTGTGGCCACTGGGGGCTGCTGCCCCAGGAAAACGTCTTCACTTACCCGGCCAACATGGTGTACAGGAGGATTCCTAAGCTCCAGATGTCACAAGCTGCATCGTAACCTTGGCGTTTAAGGACCTACGTGAAGAAAAGCAAGCGAAAAATAAATGATGCCACAGTCACGGATTTTCACCTTCTGGGCTTACAGAGGCACCGAGCCGTGGTTCTGATCTGCTGACACTTTCAGAGCTCGCCCCTGTGTCTGCACTGAACAGATGGCTGGTTTTGGAGCCAAGTGTTTGGCGATGGTGTGGGAGTGAGGTCAAACCTGGACGGGAGCTCGCTAGCCAGGATGCAAGTCCAGCTTAACTGTGACCTCTGATGCTGTTTGCTGGTGGGCCCTGGACTCTCTCTGAGCACCCAAAGCAACAAGCGAACTAACCTCCTCTGCTTACTTCATCTTTGAAAAATACATCCTTTAAAATATAGCTAATTAGCTATATTTCAAACTAGTATAACTAGTATAGCTAATTAGCTATACTTCAAACTAAAAAAAGCTATTTAATACTTTCAAACATMATCTCCTAAAGCAGGGGCTACTAAAAACACTATGGGTGCAATAAATGCAGGCTTGGCTGACAATGATAAGCAGGCTTTTATTTGGATCTGATAGGGTACATGGATGCTGACTCACATTTGATGTCAGACTAGTGAAGATGTACTAAAAAGAAAACTGAATGACTTGCTGTGTATTTTACTAAGAAAAGTGGTTACATTTATACCGGGCTTAACAGATACTGTGGGGAAGGTGATACTTCTCCCTATGGGAAAAACAAACTTCCCGGTGCTCAGCAGGATCTGCCAGAGATCTGCTCAATATTGGCTGGAGCAGTAAGGACATAATCTGGATTTCATTTATGTTAATGTGTACCAGAAGAAATGCCTATTTGAGGTACTGCAGGTCCATGTGAAAATGAAGTCACTAACTGAGCCAGCAACTGATGAGATTAGGGGAAAAATTTACTTTTCCTTGGCTCATAAGAGGTCATGGACAACCCCTAGATCTTAATTTCTTTGAAAAGTGAACAACTGCTCTGTTTATTTAACTTCAGTCCTGACACATCAGAAGGGTCTTGTCCTCTATCTTGATCAGGAGAGTTTTTGCAGAGGAATGGACACATTCCATGGGTCTTTTTCTGACCCAAAGCCTTATTACTCTGCAGTGATTTCATCTGTTTTGAAGTTTTTTGAAGTTCATCTATTTTGAAGCAGAAAAAAAGCAAAAAAAAAAAAAAAAAAAAAAAAAAAAAAAAAAAAAAAAAACCACCCCAAAACCAAAACCAAAGCACATCAGAAGATGTTGCCTCAACAGATTTTACAAATAATTAGTAGTAGCAACCATCTGCCAGGTATGCTGCTGAGCAAACATTTGTTACCCTGTAAAAAAAAAGCTGTACAAAAAGCCAGCATTTCCTCCTGTTTATGTTCCTGGTAATCCTGCTTCTGCCTCTCTTTCTTCCACTTTACGTTTATTCTCTATGTCAATTTATTTGTGTCTGTTTCTTAAGTCCTTGCATTCATCCTCCCTCTGTTACATAGATCTTTTCTGAGAAAATTTGCTTTGCCATTTGCTAAATTCATTTGCTTAATCTGTAAGATCRCTGCTATTTTAAAAGGTGTCTAGCAGCTTTATGCAACTCAGAAAAAAATGCTTAAAAAAAGTGCTTAAATCAGAACACTGAGCGGGCAGGAGCGAGCACTGGAAGTTGAGTGCATGGGGTTGAGTGGCTAGATCCTATCAAACAATAACAAGCATTTCTCTTAAAAACAAATCAGACAGTGATAGAGCTTTGCAAAATATGTGGGGTTGCACTGCCCTAGAGGGAACTGAGGAATATACCATGAAGGAAGGGCTCTGTGGTGAGCTAGAGAAGTCCGTGGGATTTGATGCACGGCTACGAGCCGGCTCCGTGCTCCACACGACGGGGCTTTCAGCRACAAGGGCTGGTCTTCATCTGGGCTCAGCCAGTTCTGACGAGGGCTCAGATGTTTATCCAAAACTCTCCCACCTCTCTGCATTTTGTACTATTGCATTAACAAGGTTCTGGAAAGAAATTTTTCTCCGCCACGTTCTGCTTGCAGTTGTGACCCAAGTAGGGAAATGAATGAGTAGAAGAGAGAAAAAAAAATCTTGGCACTTTCAAGTGCCAATGCAGTATTTCTTCCTGATACTTCAATTAAAACTGAAGAATAAGGGCTTCTTACTTTACCAAAAGGACCTTGCAGCATTAGGAGGGAAACACCGTCCTTTATTTTTCCTCCTGGCTGAACCTTGCCATTCCCTCTCTGCAAACAGCATCATTGGCACTAGGTGGCAGACTGCAGCTTTCTCTTGGGCAGTTTTCATCATTTCTCATGTCCTCTCCTCTTACCCCCAAATTAAATGTTTCCAAAATAAAGGCAGATTTCCGTGTGCAAACGTGTTATCACTCCTCTGCCACTGCCCTCCTGTGTCATCCGCTCAACTGACTTCCCATCTTCTCGTTTGGTTTCTGCAAAAAAAMCCCCATATTGCAGAGAGTGAAGTGGGGCTGAGACAGAGAAGGCAGAAGTCAAGTCCAGGCTGGAGGGCCACATTGTGTCACAAGCAAAATCTAAAAGCTCTTCAGGCTTCATGTAAGCTCTCCATCAGTTCTGGCAAGGTTTCAGGTAATCTCCAACACTCCATATCCATAGCAGGACCTCTCTTACTCATTGCAAACATCTGGGTGTGTGATTTCTGTTTTCAGTTCAAATCCCTAGAATTCAACCTGGCAAAATTTGTGATTATAGGAGCTATACAAAATAGCCTCTCATGAAATATATATATATATATATATATATATCTGTTTTAGATACACTGTATCTTGGAGAAAATGTGCCTATTTTAATTCTTACAGGCTTGACTAATTTTTGGTCTAGAAAATGAACTGCTATGATGCCACAAAATATTTTTATTAATTTTGATATTTTTTAAACAGCTCATTCCAATTTCTAGAATGAAAACTCAAATGAACAGCTATAAAACAACAAAATGAATTAATTTGTCAGCAGAAGATTTTTACTGAAAAAAAGTCTTCTTTGAATTTATACTGACTCTAGCAGTGCTCTCCATTCAACAAATTCTCTTCCTGATACTGGAGGCCTATGATATCTGTATCTTTGGGTATCAGAAAACGATAATATACAGAGAATTCATCCCATTTTTCACTTTGAAGTTACATACTACACAGAGGAACACTGGATGGTGGGAGTGGCGGGCAATAAAAACTGCTGAATGATAACACCTGAAAGAAAGTGATACTTCATCGTAGTGGATAGGCTTTGTCTATTGTTTTAAGAACCATAAGCAGAACTGTATATTGAAAAGCTGTACAAATTGTTAATCTACATCACAATGCAAAATTGTTAACACACATCATTACAACAAAGAGACATCTCTCCAGGAAATCAGCCTGTTAGTACTTCCCTGGAAGGCAGCAGACAAGCAAGGCTCTCCGCTTGCTTGGGGCAAGCTGCTTAGGCTGCCTCACTTGATCACTTGTCGAAACGGGAAAGCAGCACTTGCCCGTCTCACACAGGTGCTGCCAGGGCAGCTGGCAGCTACTGCGGTTTGGGAGGCATGTGAACCATGAGCTATTGCAGTTTAGTAGAAATTAAAAAAAAAAGGAGAGGTAGCTCAGTTCTGATCCACTATTTAAGCAGAGCATAAGCAGCTCCACAGAATAAATATGTAAGAAACTGGTAGAGAAAGAAAGGTCAGAGATTTGACACCACAAACTAATTCAGCTACTATTTCCAAAATGAGAGTAAGGACAGGCAGGTAGGCCTGGCAGATGAGAGTTTCAAGTGCCAAACAACCTTCTTTAATATAGTATCTTCATACCCTGTCACAGGGAGGACAGTGCTAGCAAAGCTTAAGAGGAAACATGTTGCTTTAGCTCAGTGAAGTGCASAGTAGAGCTCCCAGTGACTTCAGTGGAGTGAGCATTTCATGCATGGAGTTTTCTTTGGGTCCTCATTCCTGATAGCAAGATTTCCCCTGTAAGCCTTATTCTGCTGTGACACAGTGACCTAAAGAGGGTGGGTACTCTTAGTTCCCTAAGCAGCTCCATTAAAAAAYGGCATTTATCCTAGGGTAATATGCCAAAGTATTGTGTACGTCAGTCTCAGACAGACACTGGCTTCTGGCGTCAGGAAAACAAGTGGCCTGAAAAGATGGACAGGAATAGCAAACATATGCTGTAATATTGTAATATCTGTAATAGATGCTGTGAAAGTCTTTGTGGCCTGATTTGTGCTTGCTTCTCTCTAGAAGGCAGGGACAGAAAGAGGGAGAGATCCAGAAGATGGCTTTCTAGGACACGCTCACTGGCCACAGCCTGCAATCATACCTCGGGGGCGACAAAGTTGGCCGTGTAACACGGAGTCATGAGCAGCCCGTTCTCTGCTCTCAGCTGTTTGGCAAATCCGAAGTCACAGATCCTGATGGAATCCGGGTTTCCTGACTCATCCATGTAGAGGATATTACTTGGCTTCAAATCTCGATGCACCACCTGAACAAGAGAGCGCAAGTGAAGAGAGGAGGTTACAGAGCACTCAGGGTTGGCTGCCTAGCTCTAAGTTTCTGGTCTGTTGTTTGAGGTAGAGCAAAAGCTCTCACCTAAATTGTTTATGTTTTGAAGCAAGGTTGCTTAGGACGCTCAGGCAAGTGAAAAAAATAAATTAAAAAAAAGAAGGTTAAAATCTATTAGGGTCAGAAAAAGCATGTTCTGCAACTACTAATACATCTGGCTGATGTATTAGCCATTGCAATGGAGGGCTGCTTTTCTGAGTCCCCTGTCAGAGGGGACTGCTGCACAAACACAATGTGTCCTCTTCAGATTTTCTGCGACCCTTTTAAAAGGGGCAAGGACCATGTAGTTGTCTGTGGGGGCAGCACATTGGACCTGCTGGCCCAAGTGCTCCAGGTATCACCTGGAACTTGTCAGTCCTACTTTTTCACTTAAAGAGATGGGGGAAAGTCCAGTCACAAAGGCCTTCTTGTCATGTGACTGTTCATACAATTGTTCAAACCTGAAGGGAGAAATTATTATTTTTCATCTTTTCCCTTCAAAAAATCCCTTTGGGTAGCTCTGCAGCTTCAAGTTGCTGTGTTTTACTAGAGGCACTGCATTTACGTGGCGGGAAAATGGCCTTTATTGATCACATCAACACCGAAAAGCTATCATAAAAACGTACAAGCCCAAGCACAACATGAACTCGTTTTAACCATGAAAGTCAAAAAGCAGCAGCTATTTTACTAGTTACCCAAACTGTCTGTCACTGAAAAGTAGAAAAAGAGTTCTTCAAATTGTTTTAGGTAGAAAGCTCAACTGTTAAAAATTTGCTTTTAACAGTATGTCAAAAAGCCTTCCAATTATCCACACAAATTGATACTTAGTTTTGAAATCTGAGCATTTGATTCACTGTCTCCCAATTCAGATATTCTGTCTCAAATTTTGTTAATAAATGGATGGAATAATGATTGTGAGAAAAAAAAAAATAGTATCTCAAAAAGGTACATGGACTTGAAAAAGTAATTTGGGGAAAAGTATCATTTAAACACACTGCAATTGAGTTGGGAAATAGCTAAAAAGTCTTTGACAGTATTTCATGAACTAAATGTAATTATATACATGGAAAAGAATTAAAGATATATTTCTTTCTCTCTCTCTTTTATTTTTTTTTTTAAGGAAAAATCCTATTTCCATTTCAGCGAAGCAAAATCCCAGCTCTTTGCGTTTCCCAGGGGCCAGATTCTGAGCAGGCTGCTCCAGGGAAGCGAGAAAGCAATGCTTACGCCCTGGGAATGCAGGTAGTCCACGGTCCTGGTGATGGTGCAGAGCACGGCGCTCGCCTCCCGCTCCGAGAAGCACTTCTGCCGCAGGATGCGGTCCAGCAGCTCGCCCCCTCGCATCAGCTCCATCACCAGGTACACGTATTTGCCGTCGTCGTACACCTGCAGGGACAACCGCATCAACACACGCTCTGCACGCCTCATCTCGGTGACGGTGGCTTCCTTAGTCGCCCTGCTGACTTGCTTGAGCACGACATGCAGGAAGAAAGCGTGAGCTCATGGCGGGAATCTGCTTACTGAACTTATCATCCGAAAAGGCAACTTTACAATCTGACTTAATCGTCACTTTTTTTTTTTATCATGTCTGTAGCAACTCGCTGGCTTGTCTGCATAGAAATGCAGTTTTCATGATATGCTGTCCTATCAGCAGAGTAGTCCAAACTGCTAAAGCAGCAGCACTCCATACGGCTTGAAACATCTGCTCCTTCTCAGAAATGTTCTCTCTTTCCAGTTCCACAAGGTAACATTTGTAATTTTAAATATCAATATTTGCCCCTTGACTCATGATCAGCTAAATGAACTGCATTATCCTGTTGCTCAAGACTTAATTCCARTGATATCATACACTCCATGTTTGCAATTCTGGTGAATATATTGTTGACATCAGCTGCAAAATGTRTTTACTTTCAGTGTCAACAACATGGGGCAAAAGACATTTTTTTTTTCTAAATTGGAAGATGGCCATTTTCATGTCACAATCTTTTATTTGATTGAAGTAATAGACGATGTTACAGTCACCAGCGCTAAGCACTTTTGGAATGAATACAAAGCATTTTTAATGCAAATTTTAAGATACTCTCCAACACCCAGGAGACAGGTGAGACTTTCCCAAGGACATCTGATTAGAAGTTTTTTTATATAGTTCTCTAGGGTTTGAATGATGAAGCCACTGATATGAACAAGATTTTTGATCTTTAAACACTGAATCTGATTCAGTGAAGCCTATCCTTCATATAAAGWATTAAAGAAATGCTCTTCTTGTCTTCTGAGGCTGATCGAGTGAAATGGAAAGGCTCCCTGGCATTAAAACATCATCAAAGGAAGCCACAGTGGCCTTAGTTCTCTTCTTCTCCATCAAACAGACCCCACAGGCTGGGCAGGAACCTCCCATGCCCAGCAGCACCACTGTGTGTGTTGAACAGTTTCCTCTGAAATACCACACTGATGAGATCTCATTTCTCAAACTTACTGGTAAACCAAATACATTTGTTGTTCTCTAGCACTGTGGCCCTTCAATTTTATTTACACAGTATTTGGCGATTATACAACCAGTTTTATTCAGTACGTTGTTAAAGTCCTATGATTTCGCTGTTAGTGGGTCTGTCTGGTATTAATTTTGACYGGCAATTAGAATGGAAATTTTTCCAGATATGGAGTAGTAGGTGAGACTGATATTAAAATGTGAATTGTTCAGTGCTGAAGAACTCAAAGACTACTCACATCCTTCAGAGTAATGATGTTCGGATGCTGCCCATACCGCAGGAGGATCTCAATTTCTTCAGAGGGGTCTCTCTTGCTCTTGTCAATTATCTATAATAAATGAAGTACCGTGTAGTCAGATGGCAAGAGGTACCAGCTGGCAACAGAGCATTAAACAAGCATTTTCTACACTTTAAACAAATTAATATTTTAAATTCTTCTCTTAATCATCATTCTAAGCAAGGACAGCTCAAACCCTGTGAAACTGAGAGCCATGTTGACTATCTGCCAAAACCAGATGGAGCAATTAGTTTACATTCTGAAAGCTTAGGCCTTCTTTCTCATGCCATAGCTTTGTTTGCCCATAAATAATGGGAGTAATGAGAAGTGTCRTTTAGAAAAAGAAAAAAGAAAAAAGGAATAGTTTTTAAATAAGAATAGTTTTGAAATGACATCTTTGGCATAAAAATGCATACATTCGTAGTCCTGTCATATGCCTGTATGTCTCCTGGTAAATGAATAAGCATTACTTGCCAGGTTGGTGTGCCAGAAATGAGAACACAGGGGCACGCACCGTCRGGATGGACCTGAGCTGAGCCTACAGCTAATGCCTTGACACTTTGTGCCACGCTCCTGTARAGAGCGAGCGAGTGGCCAATGGCCATCCAGCCCAACCCTGGTCATGACTGGGCTAGAAAGGTATCTACACCAGCTTCCTGTGTTCAGAGCAGGTACACATCCTCTGCAGCATCAGAGAACACTGCAAGGCATGAAGACATTTTGTTCTACAAGCAGAAAGGCTCCAAAAAATTACAGGTGCTCTCCAAATGGCAATACTGCATGCTCTTAGAAGGGCTGTGACTTCTCGTAACACTTTTGTTGCCTGTTTTTGAGGTATCAGTCAAAGAGCTTCTCTCATTCGCCCAGCTGAAAGCACTGCTTAGTGACTTGTATTTCGTAAATTGAAACAAAACAAAAAATAGCTACAAAATAATCCAAGAAGTCTCTGTATTTTGCAATCTCAAATGCAACTGCGCAATGAGTGCTGAAAGACTCATTCTATTAGAAACCCCACTAGGAGCAAAGGAAGTATTTTGGCATGAATTTTGTACTGCTAGAAAAAGGCATTGGTGCTTTAGAGTAACAGGGAACAAGAATGGCCGGCATTTTCAGAAATCTGTATTTCCATTATCGATTCAGATTTCAAGACATCCAAGCATATATGTGGTTAGCTATATGAAATAACAAGGCACACAGATTTAAAATAGTGGCATTCACAGGGAAAAAATCTTTTTTCAAAACAAATTTTTTTTTTTAATTGGCATAAGTGTCTGGTTGTTTTTACATGCACTTTCCTGGCTTAATTACAGTGACATGGTTTAAGTGCATGTCTAGAGTTTAACCTATCAGCTGTAATAGGGCACAGGTGAACAGACATCATGACTGACATGCATTTACAGTGGTAACGATGGTCAGTGGTTGCCCATGACTGAATTTGAAGCCATATCAGTGACTCRGTTCCATATCAGCTGCAATGTGAGAAGTGAAAATAAAACTGGGCACCGATGTTGGCAAATGGCTGTTATCGTCATTTCAATAAATGACAGGAAAAAATAAAAAACAGGTAAGTGAAAAAAAACCTAACAATTTCTCTTTAGAATAATATTGTTCACCCAGTTAAGCACAGACATCTGGGATGAATGACTGCTCTACACAGAGCCAGAGCAACTAAATGTGATTGTCCCAGTCAACCAACAACTCTAATGTACAAAAAGACACTTGGGGCGATCTCCCTGACTGGAGCCAGCTGATGTAACAGCTCCTGTGAGGTTAATGGAGCCACACAAGCACGTGCCTCTCGAGGTCGGCCTGCCTGGTACAAACTAGACAAATTTACGGCAGCAGGCACTCCTATTACTGTATGAGGTGTTRCTATCACTATGCTACTGTAGCAAGTGATATATTCTATTTTCTTAAGAAAGGAAACATACAGAGCTGTGGAGAATTTTAAGTAACTGCTAACAATGAAGGAATATAAAAGTAAATAATGCCTAAAAAAAAATACCCAAAATAGTCTTAGCTATTGATATAAAACTCAYCATAACATGATCTGAAGCAGCCGGATAGTAATTTAATAATAGCAGCAGTAGTTGATATGTAATGCTTCTAATTTATAACGTGCTGCACAAACATGCATCTCAAAGCACTCCTGCTAAACAGGCATGCTTTTTGCTTTAATGTGTGCACAGACTGCGATGCAGTGATTAAATGGACAAGCCAATGACAGACTCGTGTCCCGAATTCCTGTCCCCTGGGCAGTCTGGCAGGACAGGCTGGAACATTTTTTTTCTTCCTCCAGTGCGACAGACTCTTACCCCGATGGTCCCTCTCTCCAGTGCCCTTGTGACCTAAATTGAGCCAKGACTGACAAAACAGCAAAGGAGGAGCTGCAGTTGCAGCACCCATAGCAGATATTTCTCTTCAGTTCCAAACAACTGCAGTACAGAGAGTTTTTCTTCCTCTGCTGCAGTGGCCACAGTGGCAAAACTCTCGTTCGGCCTCCTYGAACATCCCCCGCAGCTTCACCACAAAGAGAGTTGATTTTTCTGCTCTTTCTCTTTAGAAAGTATTCTCATGTATGTTAAAACTTCAGCCAGATTTAGAACGAGCAAAACTGCCCAGTTTTGCTGAACAGTTTTAACAGAGGTTGCTGCCTCCTTGGACATGYGCATCACAAGAGGAGGTGCTGCATTCAGAGGACATTTGTGAATCATGCCCTAACCAAGAGCTAAAATGAGCTCCAGGAAAACCCTGGCCCAGGAGGCCTCACCTAACACAGGCACAACCTAACATAGGAGACGCACCACCAGCTCCCAGGGATTTTCAAAGCAGCTTTGGAATTCTCCGYAAGTGTCAGAGATGTACGTGTGCAAAGGGAATGGCTTCACCGGACAGTTTTTGGCTCAGCCCATTTTGTGCAGCTTTACCCCGCGATGTGAAGCAGAGGTGCTGCCCTGCATTGCTCCCCACGGCCCAGCAGCAGCAGCGGCAGCCCTGCTGCTTGCCCCCGACCTCGGCGCTGCCCCCGCGGCACCGTCACCCCCTGGTCCCGGCGAAGCGACGCGGCTCTTGGTCACCCAGCGGCCACTCTCACCTGCAGACAGCAGCACTTCTTTTGAGCCGCTTTTGGCAGCTCATCTTGACTTGAAGTCAACTAAAATGTATACACTGGATTTGGAAAAGAGTTTTTTTTTTTTTTCCTCCTGTTTTCTACTTCCAGTCCTGAGGTTATGAGTACTGTGAAATGATCCTGCTTTTCTACTTCTCTCTGTAGATGAGTGGTGAAGAACAACAACTTGGAAAGACATCACAACATGTAAAAAGCTTAACCAAAAATGTAACAAGAGCTTGGTTGTACGTTGTCACAGAAAAGCTATGAAGCAAGTAGGTTTTCTATTGTACTTTAGAAAAATAAGAAAAAATAAGAAACTGAGACATGAAACAAATACACTTCTCTCTATGTACTAGACACCCAGGGATTTCTTAGAAACTCATCTGTATTATTGATGGATGAAACAATTCCAGAGTAAAGTGGGCTCACTTCATACAATAGTGTCCTTTGTTCTAACAGATTTTTGTTCTTTGACTAACATATCCTTTGTGTATTTTACTGACTAGCTGAAAGAAAGCTGAATATTTTCTCCCTGGAGAATTTAGGGTAAAAAAAACTCATGATATTTTAAAACAAGTCAGGCTCCATCAAAGAATAATACCAAGTTCTCTATCGTGGAAAGAAGGCTCAGGCGAGGATAAATATTTCCAAAATCCCAATGAGCAAGTCTGGACAGTTTTACAAGTCTTTTGCATGGGAAAGTCACACGACTGTTCCTAACTAGGGAGTATTCAACATCTCCAGCCTTGCCGGAGTGGACTGATGAGCACTAAAAAAGAATATTGATACAGTTCTGTGTGGCTCAAACATGGCCAAAAGAGCTACAGCAGCTACATATACATGTATTTATGTCCGTATGTATATTTATACTTACATAAAGAAATTCTGAAGACCTTCATATAATCAGGTAACAGAAAGAGCCAGGCAAAACAAAGCAGAACGAGGGGGGAAGGCATTTGCTGGTTACAATTTTTTCAAGGAATTAGTTTGCCTCCAAATGTTCAGATAAATTTCTTCTTCTGCACATAGCTATGCCATTAGCAGATGTTTAGTAACAACTACCAGCTGGGATTTATGGCTTTCACAGCCCTGACATGGATGCAGCTTGTGAGAGCCCTGCCCAATCTTCTCTGGGCAGAATTAGCCCTGTTAATACAAACTGCCTTTTTAAGCAGCTGAAATGAACTTGGGTGAGCTGTGTGAGGAGGACGACCACACTTCCCACACGGAGCCCTTCACCACTGCCCATGGGAGGCTGGAAAAAAGGCATGTGGGCAAAGACGATAATGTAGCCTATCTGGAAAGGGAACATTTGTATAGAGCCTAAAAGAGAGAGAGCAAAGCGACAGAGTGAGCCAGAAGGCAGAAGAGAGGCACGAGATGCAGGGATGGGAGCGGCGCTGAGACGGGGCTCGGGCTTGGCAAAGACGGAGCTGGGGGCGACGGGGCTGCCTTCTGCCCCTTGGGCCTGCCTGTGCTGCCCGGGGGGCTCTGCACATCTTCAATGGGCAAGCAAGGCTGCGCTGGAAACAAACAAACCAGGACTGCTCGGCTCTCGTGCATCKTTTTCCTCTGAAGTGAAAAGGAAGACACAAAACCTTTGTCTAATCCTATTGCTCAAAACGGGCAACAGGAACCACATTCCTTCCTCAACCTCCCTTCCTGAGGAAAATCACACTAACTGTGCCCAGTGCTGGCACGCTGATTAACACTGTGCGTGCCACCACCATGGTCTGTAGCAAAGGTTCTCCGTTTTATTTTAATGGATTTCTTCCACTGGAAACCTTCCACTTGCACAGGAATCAAGCAGCAGCAGCAGGAGGCTTTAGAAGTGCACGCTGCTGCACTGACATATGAGAAAGCAGGTTGAGAGGCTTTGACACAGGAGCTCTGGCGGGTCCTGCAGGAGCATATACGATATATATATATATATATATAT